CCTATTTTCTGAAAAGTGTTGAACTGTCTCTAAAGCTTTAATGCAAGCTAAAGAATCCCTGTCTCTGAAGAGTGCTACTGTATGTAATAATCCTCTGAATATATCTGTCTGCGGTGACAGAGTGTATTACAGACGCTTATACTAATATCATAGTGTTACTGCTAAGATTTGTGAGTTTCCCCCTTCTCTGTAAAAAGGCGGTGGTGGCAGTGTGAAGGGTTAATTGCGTAATTAACCTGACCCAGTAACAATTGCTCTCAGGCTGCTGGCACATAGATTGTGGTCCCGTGAGCTGGAAAATCTTTGTGCAGGGCGCAGCTGAGAGTGGCAATGTTACGCAAGTGACAGCGTGGTGTGAGATCGGCTGGTCCTTCGGTCACAGCGTGGTGAGAAGGGCTGGGGTCTGACGCTGCACACCGTCACAATCAGTGCTGATACTGTGCACTGTCACTGTACTAATGACACTGGATGAGAAGGAGTTAACATCTAGGGGAAATCAAAGGGTTAACTGCATGCAAAAAAGTGTAATGTGTGTAATATGTGCTGCTTTTATTAAGAGATTTGCCTGTTTTTTTCTCCCTGCTTTTGAGCCTCTCATCCTCACATACTTGCATGTACAAAACATAAACACGTGTTGGGGGCCCAAAACTTTTTCCAAAAATATATATTGTTTGTGGGGTTTTAAGCAATGTTCAGGCCGAAAATGATTTTTTAAACATGTGTGCAAAAACACAAAAACAGCTCGGGTAGCAAAAGGGTTAAGAGTAAGTCAAAAGGTTAAAATTGTCTAAAGGTGGAAAATGTCTTAACTCCTACATTTGCTATTAAATCTGGATTTTAAAAAAAAATCAAAGGTTTACATTGGAAAAAAATTATAAAAAGAGAATTTTAATTATTGATTCACCTAACGTGTTCAACATTTCCAGTTGTATAGAGGGTACTTGTCCTTATTTCAATATGCATTATCAGTTGCATATATGGAATTCAGATTACTTAGTACTAGGTCTCCTGACATTGCAGAATAATTGTAGCCTGCAGTATTACTAATTAACCTAATAGCAGTGGCTGGTGTACATGTGTTTGGAAGGTCTGTCATTAGGCAACTAAAGATCTCACGGATCTAAGAATGTGACGACTTCTCCTCTTTTATAGGTGCTGTTTTAAGCTGAATGTTTTCTTGTTACAAATAAACTATATATATATATATATATATATATATATATATACTGTATATTATGTTTAAAGTATATCTAAACTTTAAATGGACATGTAGTTTACTAAAGCACAGTGTATCATACTTAATTTCCATGCCTTATTTTTTAAATACAATTCACCAACATTTTTCAGTTTCCTCTTTTTTTTTCTTCTCAGTGCTGCTGATCTCTTCCAACCTATTTCAGCTACCTAATATCTGCAGTTGGCAGTATTATTGTTCTGGTCTGGCTTCCTGATTGAGGCAATGGTGAACCATCAATGCATAATGGAGGTGGAGTTGGACACTTGTAGACTCCACAAGCGGTGCCTGTGATAGGCTAACAAAACAGGGGTTCAATCAGGAGACAATTTTCACCCTATAACAAGAAGTACCTAAACACAGGATTTGGTGACTGGATCACAAAGTTTATTTATTTATTGAATTTTATAGATTCAAATAGACTAAACAACAAATCTAAAATTATATGATGTTTAAGTGCTTGGGATAATAAATAGTTTAATACCCAGCTTTTTTAGTTTCGAATAAACGGAAGAAGAGTCAGAATCTAATTTAGGCTAAAATTATGTTAGTATCCCTCACTGCCTGTTTTTGGAAAATCTTACAAAGAGGGGCTCTACTTAAGAAATTATTTGTTTTATTTTTATTGCATAAACCTTTTCCCATGCCCTGTCTGAAACCCCTTTAAATATATAGGATGTGAGCAAAAAATCGAACTCTAAAAGAGCTGGAGTTGGGCTTTAAAGCTGCGGTCTGATGAGGCTGCTCTGGTATTAATATATTATCCTGTCCTTTCTTATGCAAACTCGCTAGGATAAAACAAAGCAAAATAAATATTTTGTTAGATAGAGGCAATTTATTAAATATGAAGTACATAATGACCTGTGATCGTGGAGGTGGCATAGTAAACTGTTGTCACGGGTGGCATAGCAACCTGTAGTTCTGGGGGTGGCATATCTGGGGGTGGCACTTACAGTCATGAAGTTGGCATAGTAACCCGTGATCATGAGAGTGGCATAGTAACCTGTGGAATTAGCGGTGGCAAATTAACCTGTGGCCATGGGGATAGCATATTAACCTGTGGCCATAGTGTTGAGATAGTGTTGCCTGGCCAGGGGGGTGGTATATTTACCTGTGGCCATGAGGGTGGAATAGTAATTTGTGGTCATAGGAGTGACATAGTAACCTGTGGCCATGGGCCATATTAGTGATATGAAAGGCAATAGTTTTTAGTTTTCAGTTACCTTTCTATAATACACGGCAATATGCAACTTTATTGTAATGTGTCAAAAATATAGGCAGGTTCAGTTTACATTGTTTTCCCATAGTTCAGTTATCCAGAGCATTGTAACTGGGTGCTCAAAGTGAAAAAATATTCTTAAAGGATGTGCAAGAGCCACCATAGACGCTGCATATTAAAGTGACTCTGTTGTTGAATTAAATGATTACAGTAAACAGTAAGAGAACCCATGCTAACCTTTTCCATTGACTGTTCTCAACAGAGCAAAGCAAGTGGCAGAATTTTCAGCATCTGTTAGGTTCCACTGCTGTGTTACTATGCTAGGTTATATGTGTTATTTTTATATATATATATATATATATATATATATATATATATATATACATACTAATATAGACAGTATATTATCTATATATTGAGGTCAGGCACTGATGTCAGACGAGAAGGCCTGGTTCGCAGTCTCCACTTTAATTCATCCCAAAGGTGTTCTACCGGGTTGAAGTCAGGACAGTCAAGTTCCTCCACCCCAAACTCGCTCATCCAAGGCTTTATGGACCTTGCTTTGTGCACTGGTGTGCAGTCATGTTGGAACAGGAAGGTGCCATCCCCAAACTGTTTCCACAGAGTTTGGAGCATGAAATTGTCCAAAATGTTTTGGTATGCTGACACCTTAAGAGTTCCCATCACTGGAACTAAGGGACCAAGCCCAACCCCTGAAAAACAACGCCACACCATAATTCGCCCTCCACAAAATGTTACACTCGGCAAAATGCAGTCAGGTAAGTACCGTTCTCCTGGAATCGCTGAACCCAGACACGTCCATCAGATTGCCAGACAGAGAAGTGTGATTTGTCACTCTAGACAACATTTCCCCACTGCTCTAGAGTCCAGTAGTGGCATGCTTTACACCACTGTATTTGACGCTTTGCATTGCACTTGGTGATGTAAGGCTTAGATGCAGTGGCTCGGCCATGGAAACCCATTCCATGAAGATCTCTATGCACTGTTGTTGTGCTAATCTGAAGGTCACATGAAGTTTGGAGGTCTTTAGCTATTGAATCTGAAGACAGTTGGCGACTTCTGCACACTATTCACTTCAGCATGCACTGACCCTGCTCTGTAATTTTACATGGCCTACCACTTCGTGGCTGGGTTACTGTTGTTCCCAGTTTCTTGCACTTTGTGATAATACCACTAACAGTTGACTGTAAAATATTTAGTAGCAAGGAAATTTCATGGATGGACTTATTGCACAGGTGGCAACCTATCACGGTACCACACTTGAATTCACTGAGCTCCTGAGAGCGACCCATTCTTTCATAAATGTTTGTAGAAGCAGTCTGCATGCCTAGGTGCTTGATTTTATACGCCTGTGGCCATGGAGGTGATTGGAAAAACTGAATCCAATGAGTTGTAGGGGTGTCCCAATACTTTTGGCAATATTGTGTTTATATATATATATATATATATATATATATATATATATATATATATATAAACAAATGAGAATGAGATCTCCAAGTTGCAAAAATGCTTTCTTTGCTTCAAGTGTATCTTCATACAAAAATTTGTGAGAATGCGCAGTTTCAGGCATAACACTGCTCTTCTCAAGCTACAATTGTAATGCTAGACATCAAAAGATCACTCTATATACCTATACACAGGGTGTGATTGCACAGGTGCATCTCATCTACACCACTATACCATTAATCTCATGTTAGAAAATACCTTTATATAACAAAATGTCAACAAAAAATAAACATAAATCATTTAACATATGTTGGAGATCTTGCTCTCACTTGTTTTTGGATGTTTTATATGGATGGAATTATGGGAGCCCATCGTTAATGAGATCCGCAACAGATAAGATTTGCAACATAACAGGAGTTACCTGCTCCAATTTTTGATTTACAGTATCTCACAGAAGTGAGTACACCTTTTCATGTGATAACACTGGAGAAATGACACTTTGCTACAATGTAAAGTAGTGAGTGTAGAGCTTGTATAACAGTGTAAATTTGCTGTCCCCCCAAAATAACTCAACACACAGCCATTAATGTCTAAACCACTGGTAAAAAAAGTGAGTACACCCCTATGTGAAAATGTCCAAACTGGGCCCAAAGTGTCAATATGTTGTGTGGCCAACATTATTTTCCAGCACTGCCTTAACCCTATTGGGCATGGAGTTCACCAGAGCTTCACAGGTTGCTACTGGAGTCCTCTTCCACTCCTCCATGACAACATCATGGAGCTGGTGGATGTTAGAGACCTTGCGCTCCTCCGCCTTCCGTTTGAGGATGCCCCACAGATACTCAGTAGGATTTAGGTCTGGAGACATGCTTGGCCAGTCCATTAACTTTACCCTCAGCTTCTTTAGCAAGGCAGTGGTCGTCTTGGAGGTATGTGAGGGGTCGTTATTATGTTGGAATACTGCCCTGTGGCCCAGTCTCCAAAGGGAGGGGATCATGCTCTGCTTCAGTATGTCACAGTACATGTTAACATTCATGGTTCCCTCAATGAACTGTAGCTCCCCAGTGCCTGCAGCACTCGTGCAGCCCCAGACCATGACACTCCCACCATCATGCTTGACAGTAGGCAAGACACACTTGTCTTTGTACTCACCTGATTGCTGCTACACATGCTTGACACCATCTGAACCAAACAAGTTTATCTTGGTCTCATCAGACCACAGGACATGGTTCCAGTAATCCATTTCCTTAGTCTGCTTCTCTTCAGCAATGCGGCGTATGGTCTGAGAACTGACAGGCTGACCCCCCACCTCTTCAACCTCTGCAGCAATGCTGGCAGCACTCGTATGTCTATTTTCCAAAGACAACCTCTGGATATGACGCTGAGCACATGCACTCAACTTCTTTGGTTGACCATGGTGAGGCCTGTTCTGAGTGGAACCTGTCCTGTTAAACCACTGTATGGTCTTGGCCACCATGCTGCAGTTCAGTTTCAGGGTCTTGGCAAACTTCTTATAGCCTAGGCCATCTTTATGTACAGCAACAATCCTCAGAGAATTCTTTGCCATGAGGTGCCATGTTGAACGTCCAGTGACCAGTATGAGAGAGTGAGAGCAATAACACCAAATTTAACACACCTGCTCCCCATTCACTCCTGAAACCTTGTAACACTAACAAGTCACATGACACCGGGGAGGAAAAATGGCCAATTGGGGACATTTTCACTTAGGGGTGTACTCACTTTTGTTGTCAGTGGTTTAGACATTAATGCTTCTGTGTTGAGTTATTTTGAGGGGACAGCGAATTTACACTTTTATACAAGCTATATACTCACTACTTTACATTGTAGCAAAGTGTCATTTCTTCAGTGTTGTCACATGAAAAGATATATAATAAAATATTTACAAAAACGTGAGGGGTGTACTAACTTCTGTGAGATACTGTGTGTATATATATATATATATATATATATACACAGTATCTCACAGATACAGTGTATATATATATATATATATATATATATATATATATATATATATATATACTGCATCCTCAGAGCAGTTTTCTTTTTCCAAACCTGTCTTTTTAGCATAAACCTAACTTGCTTTATATATCTGCCATAGGAGGGAAAAGACATTCACTACTTTACATTGTAGCAAAGTGTAATTTCTTCAGTGTTGTCACATGAAAAGACATAATAAAATATTTACAAAAATGTGAGGGGTGTACTCACTTCTATGAGATACAGAATATATATATATATATACTGTGTATAGGCAGGGATTGGACAAAAAAAGAAACACTACATGATTTGCAGGTGTGAGAGTGACATGGTTTCGTAGCATAAGTAATGTAACTGCTGCAAAAGTAACTGCAGAGCTCAATCTCAGTCTTCACAGGAGAGAGTTCTGCAGTCACTTTTGCAGCAGTTGTTTTCTTATTCCGGGTCACAATTCTGCACTAGGTCCTTTTGTCTCTTTCAATCAGTTGACCGTGTTGAAGGTGACATTTTCCCAGATACTGTATATGCCATCATAACCTTTGATACTGTACTTTGCGAAATGGAAAATAAATTGGCAACTTCACAGAGACACCAGCTAAGCGCCACCAACAATTTGCCCTCTTTGAAGCATATTACTAGCAGCGCACGCAGTGAATGATGAAAGTGTGGCTTCCCATCTATTGGCCAGGTGTCTCATCACACAGTGGAAGCAAAAGAATATTACATCATTTCCGCTTTCAACGTGAAACATGTTGTCACTTTCACACCTGCAAATCATGTAATGTTCATTTTGTCTAACCTGTGTATATACTATGTTATATATGTTATGTACTATGCTATGTGTCCCTGAAACACGCTACTGAAACGGCGGTTGGAATCACAGCACTGAATTTGGGGACGCAGGCATCCAACACACCCAAAAGTGTGTCAAATGCCAAGCCATATATACATATGTAATGCCATACCAAATATCCTCAGTGCATTTTATTGCAGAACAAGCCTTAATGGAAAAGTTAGTGGCTTAGAAAAATCTAAACGTACATATTTAGTGTATGGATCATTATTACCCACATTGGAATAGTGGTTACATTTGTAGCACGGCTCATATTTTGAACAGCTCAGTACCATTAATTGTATTATTCTGTGTTACTTACATTTTAGACTATCCAAACAGTGTTCCATACGTTTATACAGTCTGCATATTGGTGCAGTTGCTGACATGATTCAAATTGAATTCCAGGAAAATATTTGGATAAACTTCAAAACGTTCAATAAAGTTCATTGCAATTTGCATAGACTTCTGTATGAAGTTGCAAAGCGCAATGAAATTAACAGTGCAAATCGCACTTATATGCAGCTTTGAAATCGTGCTGAAGAAGCCACAACAGTGTGAAACGGGGCTTAGTAAATAAACCCCACAGTGTACAGCTAGGCAGATGACACCTGTATTTCTTGGTTCAACAATGCAGCTTCCTGTATCACCTCCAGCCTGCTCATTGGATAGTAAAATTAATATCTTTCCAATTAGCAGGGTGGTGTCAAGAAAACAGTAAAGCTGAACAAGGATGCAGTTGCGTGATGTTCCAACTTGTACAATGTGGGAGATTTCATTGGTCAATCGCAGTGATGCCCCTGATTTAAAGCACACCTCTACATTGGAAATCAGCTTTTGATAAACACAAGTCTTCTTCATCAAGATAGGACATCTAAAGTGAAATATCCCTGACAATTCCATTCTTAGTGATGTGACTTATCTTTGGTGAAGTATTATTAAATGGCATTGTCATACCAAACATTTGGTTCAGTCTGGACCATGGCTACTTGCACTGTGCAGATGACAGGTTCTCTTTTTATTCACACAATGCACACATAGTATTTGCTCCAGCAGCACAAATGATGATTGTTGTGTCACCTGAGAAGGATTTCCAACCTTCACCCACAGGCCAGAAGGATACGTGACAGACAATATTTCTAATCGTCTTGAGGTACATAACAGATGAACAACAGTTTATTTTGTACAAAACAGATGCCTAGGCATTGAAGCTGGGCTATTAGTGACATTTAAAAAAACATTTTAGGATGCACATATTCTTTGTATAGCAGTAAGATCCAACACGTTTAATTTCTTTTTTGTTTACATAAATAAAATATTTAAAAATACTTTAAAAATGCCTTTTCCATTTTTTTATTTCTCCATAAATATTTTTTTTCTCATAAGGCTCAGTGTTTTCTGACACTTTTTTTTTTTTTTTTTAGTTTTCCTTTACATAAAACTTTTACACTTGTTTGACAGTGCCAAACCCTTTATAACAGAACTGATGAGACAAAACATTTGGAAACAGTAGCTAAATAACAGACCTCTTTGTTCTGACTTGAATTAAACCCGAGAAGTAAAGTCAAGGATTTTTTTGGCTTAGAACAAGAAGTGCAGACCAACTTTTTTTTTCCTGTGCACTGAAAAAGTCACAATGATATAGATCCATGTACATTTCCACCTGTGTTTCGTTTTGTGCAATGAAACAAAAAGTAAACTCAAAGTGTGGTATCATGCAGAACTTATTGTAGCTATGAGAGATTATAATAAGTTCCCTGAAATGTAACTGCAAATAATATAAACAAGCATTAATAAACAGAGACATGTAAAAAGATAAAATAATGAGAAACACAAGTACAAGATTCAATAATACAGAGGATGTAGCTGAAATAAAACTCTTTTCTGTGTTATATTATATGTAAGCATTATATTTACAAAAGGTTGCTTGTATCCGCAATGGTTTGCAACATAACATATGATTTGGGATTTCTTATATACAAGAGCCAGTCATCAAAAGGTGCAACCATTCTTACAAAAATAAGCTTTGCTCCATTGCAGGCTCTATTTTTTACACATACTCTGCTTTACCTCTCTCACATTCAGTTATAAAGATATGGTCTGTGCTGCCTACATGAAGATATGGACTGTGAAGTTTGAAGGAGACATCTTGAATGTGGGCCATGGAAAACACAAAATGGCTGACATAGTTATCAATTACGCATGTGGTTGTTTGCATGGTAGAAAGATTTAGCTGATGTATATTGTTTTACTTCAGAAGCTTTATGCATGATGTCTTTATTAGTCTATACGCATTGTGAAAGTTTGTAGACATGATGAAATTAATACTAGAAAGGTTTTAGAATGGGTAGGTTGCCTTGACCTTAAGATTCTTCATGATTTAGACTGTTGGAGGCAAAAAGCCCTCCTTGAAGGCCATCTGTTAATATCTCCAGCAAGGCATTACTACACCAGTAGATGGGACTCTGAGAAAGATTGTTCTTTTGCTTTTAGGAAAGTTGGTAAATAAGCAACTGGTGGCAGCCATTCAGCATCCCAGGGAATCAGTGGAGAGGAGAGAGGCATCTAGAAGGCTTTGGCACTGGTAGAATAAGTCTTTGCATGGATTAAAGACTATGCAATGATGAGGCAGCGACAGGTGAGTAGAGTCCATATGGGAAGTTCTCATGGCACACAGATGAATAAAGTGTTTTCATTTACTTGTGCAGGATTTATTTTATACTTTTCACTAGTGGTTAGTAAGTTATGCTGCAGTGTTATTTATACCCACCACCTATGTGCCTCCTCAATGTAAACTATAATTTATGCACGCTAATTACCTACTAATTCAATCCTAGGTACATTTACTGGCTGCTGAAAAACTTATGGTCTACTGTTCACCCATGAATAGTGAGGGAAGTCATTTTGTGGTGCAAGGACCCATAACCTTTGTATGGAGGGACTGCTAATGTCAAAGTATGATCATGACAAGTCAACGAGCCAATGCTTTGCATCCCAAAAAGATTCAGAACCCAAAAAAAGGTACATTATATTCTATAACTGCGGTAACCCAAAACACAACTCCTAGGTAGAACCTCTGGAATAAACCAACATTCCTAGCAAATTATGACTGCTATGGCATGAAGTGCAATGATTTTAATTAAATATTTGCATGTCCCACAAAATGCACATTTAAATAAAGGATCGGGTGCAATAGTGCTAGGGCATGATAGTGTTTTTAGTCAGGAGAAATGGAAGGGTCCATATATCCTAACACATGTTAATCAAACAATTGTTTAACAGCTACATGATTGTTAAAAGGGATCTCAATACAGATACTTTTCAAGTTACATAAGACCTGAATTACTGAAGTCAGACTTTACACAAAAATGCAGTATAGGATTTTTGAAAGTCACATAAAGGATAATCTAAGTGTGGTTCTTGTACTGTATATTAGATAAAAGGATGTACAGAACACTAAATAAAATGATGGCATAATGTGTGTGCACACCATACTCTGTAACTTAGTGATCACATCAAGTGAATAACTGAACACTCCAAATGAACTGCAAAGAATTCCTGCAGAGTCTTCTCCATACTAGATGACAAGTTGCACTAACAAGCTACTGTCATAAATGGTACAAAAGAAAATGTTCACACGAATGCATTCAATTTCCTGTAACAGTGATTGGTTTCCTTTTGTATTGTTTTGCTTTATATCAACCTTTTTAAACCAACCTCACATTGTGAACGCAGGCACCACCA